TACTGTACAGTATCGTTATATTATTTACTATTATATACTATACTATATTATATATAATATTTTATACTATAACGATACCTATAACTCAATTTATTACTGTAACTAACTTAATCCTATGCCTATAACTCATTACTATAACGATAACTCTAACTAAACTAGAACTATCTGTGTTTCCACAGCCTCGGACCCGAATGCTAGCGGTCAAGGGTGCACCTTTCGAAGACCGGAACCTAAACCTATATAGGTTCTACCCCTGCAATCTTTGTGCCAGTTGTTTGAATAATTTTTTGTTCGTTTCGCTCGTATTTTTTCACTCCATTTAGACTTGGATCGGACGAGTACTAAGAATTGAATTTATTCCCGTTCCGTTTTTTGTTACCTCACACACTATGATGTATGTATATCACTCTTCTCGCTCATTCATACACAAATGTGATGATCACGTCGATCATCACAATCACTGATCTGATGATGCACATCACTATTATTACGCACATGTATGGATAGTGATGATTATGATTAGATACACGATATCACTATTATTACTCGCATGTATGCGTAATAATAGTTTTTAATAATAATAATAATAGTGTAGTATGCGTAATAATCACTATTATTACTCATATGACATACATCACAATTAATACTCATATGTATGACCAAAATCATATATATTTGAGAAATCACACAAGTGACGGTAACGAATATGGATACTCATCGTGGTCAGATGATAAATGACTTGAAAAATCGAGTGCCAGATGAAGTAGCAAAAAAATTTCGAGAATAATGTCCTTGATAAAAGACTAAAGTCCTCCTACCAGATGGCTGAAATTCCCATAGCTCTCCGATAAAAGTTGCAGCGCTTGCACGCAGCGCTATAGGTTTTGTCTGGTGCAGGGAACGGTCATCATGAAGCTGCTCAGCCTGTGTCTCTTTGCAGCCTCGGCCCTCGGTGAGTGAAGAATTGAGTAAATAGAAAGCATTATTTGACCCTTCAAAAATGCCTGCCTTTGCCTCTTAGATTCGCCCTTTACATATGCAAGGGCGTACCAAATTTTGACGGAAAGCATTAAATATTCTGTAATAGCGCACTATTTCCCATCGCAAAAAAATATGATTTCAGCGCTTGATCATGCTTAAAAATAGCAAAAGTAATGGAGACATGTGGTTCGAAAGTGAGAAATTTCAAGGTATTGTTACGAAGAATTTGCTTGAATTATTTTCTTTAAATCGAACAAAAAAATTCCGTATCATCCCATTAAAAAATCTCTTACGCTCTATTGTACTCTTCGCTGTAATGTAAGTGGGTTCTATTGAATGCGGCATTTGATATCTGAAAATTAAAGGACGGTAATGCGTGAATGACTACAACGCGTAAACACGCTAAAAATATTTTGAGAACATCTTCTTTATAAGCAGTCCATAGTTGTAGTCAACAAATATTAAATTTCTCCAGCGGCTCCATCAACTATTCCGCGGTTCAGGAGAGGCCACAGCAGGATAGTTGGCGGCACAGATGCTCGTCCTGGGCAGTTCCCCTACCAGCTGAGTTTCCAGGACATAACATTTGGTAACAATATCCACTTCTGCGGGGCTATCGTCTACACTCCTGATACCATGATCACCGCAGGACACTGTGTCGACGGAGAAAACTACGACAATCCTCAAAATTTGAGGGTCAGCATAAGGCAATTGCAGCGTTCGTTGCTTCGAAGTTTTAATCGAACAGTCTGTACTCTGTAGCATTGTACAGAAATCATATTTATTTTTATTAACTTCGGAAATCTGTTTTAAGAGAAATAGTCAAGGGAAATTAAAACTCTATGAAAAGGTAAAAATCAATATATAAACTTATTTTTATTTTTTTTTCAATTAGTTGGTTAGAAATGATTCTAGAGGTCATGAAGGATTCACTGACTTTCTGCAGGCATATAAAATTCAGTCAATGTAATCGAATTTTTTTTCGCAGAATGATATAAACATTTCAAATGGTTACAGATCGTTGCTGGTGATTACAACCTTGCTACCGACGACGGCACCGAACAGGCGAGAGACGTAACTCTAATCATCCAGCACGAAGACTTCAACTACAACTATGGTTGGGAAAACGATATCGCGTTGTTGAAAGTTGGCGTTGCTCTTACCTTTGACAAGTATGTGTCCGGAGTGACACTTCCTGCTCAGGGTCAAGTCTTCACAGGAAACGGTATCGTGTCCGGATGGGGAACTTTGACCCACGGGGGCCAAACGCCAGATATCCTGCAGTATGTAAGCGTGCCCATTGTCACTGATAGCGCTTGCAGGGATAGCTATGGTGCTTCTGATATTTACGACTCAATGATCTGTGCTGGTGAAGTAGGCAAGGACTCTTGCCAGGGTGATTCTGGCGGTCCCATGACTTGTGGAGATTATCTCTGTGGAATTACTTCATGGGGAAGAGGTTGCGGGGTGCAAGGATACCCTGGAGTGTACACCGAAGTGTCGTACTTCGTTGACTGGATCCTCGCCAACGCATAATGTATTGAATTATAGTAGAAAGTAAAACTTATGACTGTGAATGTTACAGAAGTTGTTAAACTTTTATTCGATCCTGAATAGCTGCCGAGATGTCGAAACTTATATTAAATCGGTTTAGGTAATAAAATTAGAATATCATTTGCTCATTGTTAACCCCTTCTGTGAGATAAATTTCTTCACCCGCCGCATAAAATTCGATGACCTTTTTTCAGCAGGCTGGATAAAATTTAAGGGGACCGGCTACCCTAAAACTTTCAATTTTGTCGTTTTCCGGTTTTTATACTCATCTTAAAGCTGGAATTCTCCTCTTTCCAATGGTATCACTGCCATCTCTCCTGTCTCTTATACACATCTAGATGTGTATAAGAGACAGAACATGCGCTTTAGGGAGGACCAGAATTTCTTGGGGTCTGTTTGTGTTTCTAAAGAGTTGATGAGGTCTTGCCATGTCTGTGTTTGGAGGAGTCTGTATGTAGTTGGTAGCTGTTCTCTAAGATAGGTATATGAGTTGTCTGTTGAGTGCTATTGACGGGCCGTGTATGCGAATGTACTGAAGAGTGGATTGGTATTGTGTTTGTATAAGAAGTGTTTCGTGAGTTGGTTTGACTGAGCTCTAGCCGAGTGGAGAGCACATTTTATAGTTAATTTCCCCCTTTGGAATTACTGAAGGCCCCCACCACCTTCCCCCCTTACGGGAAAAGTGAACGCATAAATCAACGTACAGAGATGATTCTAGTACCGTTCGATGCGGCAGAAAGTGAGCTTTAAGATGAGTATAAGAACTGGAGAATGTCATAATTGGCCGCTTTACTTCAGACGATCCCCTTTATGGTGCCCTGCCGGGTAATTTTCGCCTTAACTTTACTGAAGGGGCCCGGACACCACCCCCTTTACGTTACGGGATCTGTCGCCAATACATAAATCAACGTACAGAGATGGTTCTAGCACCGTTCGATGCGTCAGAAAGTAAGTTTTAAGATGAGCCCAAAAACCGGAAAAGCCGAAATTTCGACCTTTGGACCCAGATGCTCGCCTTAACTGCTTATCTTAAAAACAACGTGGTTCAATCCGAAGTTTATATGAAATTAATATGTGAAATTGCCTTGACTCGCATTACCTCGAAAAATTTATTTTCATGAAGCGACTGTAATTTCTTTCTTTGGAAAGTGGTTTTTGCCCAAATTTTAGAAATACGTCATGTTAAATTTATTACTAGTTGCAACCTTAGTCTATGCTTAGAAATTGAGCCTCTGATATGCTTTCCTCTGTTCTTAAAACTAAGTGAATAGTACTAGGTTGCATATACATATGTATAGCGTGCAGAGATTCAAATGCCCCCTTCATTCTCCCCTGTATACGGAGGAAGGGAGGGGACATTTTTAACACATTTTTTAGATTCGGCCGTGCCGTCCCGAAGGTATCAGGTGCCAAATACGCGCGCCCCTCGACCGCCCCAAGTTAGCTCGGTTTATGACCGGAATCTATTCAGACGTTTATTTCGCTCGTACAACAAGAGCGTAAAGCGGACATAGTGCCGCTAACTCACGCGCTGGGCTAGCTAAAGGCGTTTTTAATTCAGAAGCTGACCACCCAAACAAAATTTTGATAGGGTATAAACTTTTGAGCTTTCAGTTGAATTTATTTATAAAAACTTGCCTTGTTAATCAAATTGAGAATGATAGTAAATAAACAAAGGTATTCCAACCCCCAAAAATTATCATGTATGTTCGAGAATAAATCCGGGGTTCAACCTAAACAAATTTGTATATTGATTTACTCTAGGGAACCTAATGTGTTAATGAGGTATTGAGCAGGTTAATTACGGGTGACTTGTTGAGGGGCGCGGAGAATGTTGCAACGGATGAATCATTGGAGCGGAAAGGAATATGAATTTTCTTAAAAATTAGGCATGTAAGAGATATCTTTCGGGAAAAATAAAGATATTGAATCTCACAGGAAAAGAGTTATGTAGCATTGGGAATTAGATTTAGCCACAAGAAAGTTGCAAATCATTACAATGATGAAAATTACGAGTACTGTCGAGAAATCCAAATCTATTGGAAGCAATTATTGATTTGGAAAAGGTAGATTATGATTGCGAATAGCGTAGCGCTGGCCTTGATGGAGAGTGGGTCTTTTGATTTAGAATTTTTTCATGAAATTGACATTGCACCATCGTTTACGATTCTCACTTTCATTCTCTGACAGCATACAGTGTATGTCACGCACAAACCATATTTTTACCTAATTTGGATTTCACAGATAAATCATGTGGCGTGAATTCACGAATATTGATGTTCATAGAGCTCGGGTGATTAATGACTTGCAATATCGTTTATTAGGTGACGTAGCAAAAACATTTCAAGTAACATTTCAAGTCCTGAATAAGCCACTGAAGTGCTCTGAGCAGATGGCAGAATTTCCCGTCGCTCCGCGATAAAAGCTGCAGCGCATGCACGCAGCGCTATAGGTTTTGTCAGGTTCGGATAATGATCATCATGAAACTATTAGTTCTGTGTGTCTTGGTGGCCTCGGCAACCGGTGAGGATGGAGATAAACGAAAGAAACTCATCGAAACATTTAAATCTTGTTGATCAGGTCACGTTAATTTTACCCCAACTCGTAAATTCATGCGTGCATTTTGTGAATAATTATCAGACTGAGTGTAGTTGCCGTAATCAGCGTACGACCACGTCCAGCACTCAGGGACTTAGTAAGAATAAATTCACAAATATTTCGAAGGAAAATCCTTAGGAATCGACTGACGTTAATTCCGAAATATGAACGTCTCGCTATCAATATTCTTTAGTCTTTATTAAAAATAAGGAATGATTCACGAAGGTTTTCTTCAAGCTATGTACTATATGCTACGTACAATGATGATCAACTTGCTCATTCATTTTCGCTCCTCTCAATATAGTGAATTAATAGACATTTTACTCAAATATTTTTTGGGAATTTTCTCATATATCTCATAGGAAAGGCCGATAGGGTCAAACATTATTGTACGTATAGACTACTTATTCACGTGGACGTGGTAAAAATATTCTGCAATGCTAAACTCACACAAAGTAACAAATTTTCTCTTTAAAACTTTAAAACATTTTCATATAAAAATGCACTGAGTGCTCTAATCTAGTTATTTCTTTATTAATTTTTTCGACTTATTTCTAATTGTATAGAAGTAAAAATTTCAGCAATATGTTTGAAATTTACTTTCAGTAATGTTGAATGTTTGAATGTTGCAGCGGCGACGTCAACTTTGCAAGAATCCAACGGGAGCCAAAACAAGATAGTCGGCGGCACATACGCTCGTCCTGGTCAATTCCCCTTCCAGTTGGGTTTTTATGATACACATTCTACCCCAGATGAATTCGTATGCGGAGCTATCATCTACCATAATGATACCATGATAACCTCCGGAGGTTGTGTCAGATACTTCGACCACAACAATCCTGATTCACTCGTGGTTAGTACAACTTGTTTCCATGATTGTTTGTTTTCATGGTTGCTTGTTTCCATGATTATCGAATGATAATCTTTTCACAGAAGCTTCATCCATTAATAAACTTTAATATTACGAGCATTAACAGGTTGAACTTCTTGCTTCAACTGTCATTAACCATCAACTGTCCAACAACAACAAATTTAAAATCTTTTTAGTATGCATCGGTCAAACTTGGAGTTTTTATAAGGCAACAAACAGGAATTCAGAGATTTATTCTTTAAGAAGTGTATTTACGTTCATTTGGCATATGAGAGCAAATTTTTATTTCCCGTTATCGGTCAAGATTAATCTGATTTGCATGTATTTTAATAGAACGAAAAAACTATTTGATTTAATAGATGAAGGATAATGATGCATTATATTTAAACATCACAGGATTAGTGAATGAGGTCCTGCATTAGGGAGAGTTTTAACTAAATTTCAAAACGAATGCAAAGCAAAGAACAACTACATTTCTACCTTGAGCAACTTTAGATAATTTAACATTTAATGTAGAGCTGAATGAAGGGAATGTTTCATTTTCTATGATCATGGCTCTCGACTATCATTCATAGTTTTGATCGCTTATTGTTCAATCAAGGTTCAACCGTCATTCCAGTTCCCATTTAGTTAAATTTTCCATCACCTTGCATATTCATTGGAGGAAATTCATAATGGCATGCGCATTCATTATATTCAAATGAAAACATGCCATGAAATAATCAGATTTGAACAATTGAAATTATGCAAATATTTTACAGACATTTCATTTCACTCCAATAAATTCATTCATAAATGATTATAAACCATTTTTCTCCTTGGTTTTAGGTTGGTGCTGGGGATCTGAATTTGGTCCTCGACGAAGAGACTGAGCAGTGGAGAAAAGTCATTCGGATCATCTCGCATGACGGATTTGACCCTGACACTCATGAAAATGATATTGCATTATTGAAAATTGATCGTCCTTTCGATTTAAACGAGTATGTATCAGGTGTGACTCTTCCTGGTAAGGGACAGATCTTCTCTGGAAACTCTTTCGTGTCCGGATGGGGAACCTTGAGCTCAGGCGGCAGTGGTCCACTCGTCTTGCAGTACGTGAGCGTGCCCATGTTCAGCGATGAAACTTGTAGAAGCGCCTATGATAGCAATGGAGCATTTTTAGGTTGGAAAATTAAAGACTACATGATCTGCGCTGGTGAAGATGGCAAAGACACCTGTTCGGGAGACGGCGGTGGTCCAATGATATGCGGAGATTATCTCTGTGGAATTACTAGTTGGGGAGTTGGGTGCGGCGATGCTCGCTACCCTGGAGTTTACACCAAAGTATCGTACTTTGTCGACTGGATTCACGATAACGAATAAGCCGTTAATCGAACTATACTTCCTGAACATAAATGAAAATACGTCATGTTCAAATTCAGTGACGCATCCAAAATTTTTAATTACCACTTGTTCACATAATAAAATGTAGCCAAAATTCTGAAACGTATGTAGAATAGAACCTTCATTTCTGAATCTGAAGTGTGAAATAATAATTTACACCGTGAAACGCAATTAAACATTCCGATTCTGTTAAAATAACATTCCGATTCTGTTAACGCAAAACTCGTTAGCCAATTCAAATTGGAATCACTGAAGATAAAGCCTAAATTGATTTACATTAGTGACACAAATCAACCAAATCATTTTACATTATAAAGAAAACTTGCAAGTAAATAGCTATGAAAGATTACGCACAAAGAAACATTGAAGACGAATAACTTTTTTTGTATCTCCTTTTCCAAACTACTAAAATTAAGACATTAGTCGTAACTGTGAACATGCTTTTCAATAGATTTCTCATTTAACAACTTCATGTTGCTTCTAGTAAATTTGATATAGACTTGTATTTGTCTTGTTCTCCATGTTCCTTCGAAAGGGCTCGTTCATACAGACAGGATTGACAGTTAACAGTTAAGCTTCCAATTGTGAAATACAAGGTTGTTGGCATAGAGTAATTAACAAGAAGAAGAAGATAACACCAGCCAACTACTGTTTGTTCCGGGGCTGTAGAATTAAAACTCTTCCAAATATCGCACACGTAACGACCGATTTTTTGTCTGTAATTGACTGACGGAGTTGTAAACTCTTGATTATTTTTGATATCGCGGCCCTTGATCCACGGCAGCTCACATCATGGAACTAACGCGAACTTTTATAATGAATCGCTCACAGGCTAGTCAGCTATGTCTACCATCTAACATAGGTCTACGAGATATTAAAACATTCCTTGATTATGCCTATTCAATAAGTCTACCGAGACGAAAGTGACGATCAATCATCCACATCACGCCCTCAAGTGGTAATATACTGATTGATATGCTGTATCTGCACGTGTTTGATGAGAAATGACCATAACATATCTCTCTTATACATATGAAAGTCGTTGGTAAGATGAAGCTGCAGAATTCCTTAGTGGATGATGAACTCGAGATTGTCAGAGAAGTATTTCGACCGTTCCTACTTAAGAATAAAATAATTTAATATTTTTATATGTTCCATCATATATGACTCTGTAATAATGCTTGTTACCGAAAACTGACTGCCAACAGCAAAATAACGTTGCTAAATTTGTTTGTCAGCAGAACTTGCTGGCATGTCATACCCTCGAGTACGTTTTGCCGTCGATGTTAACCAACAGTGATACTCGATACTCGTCGTTTCTCGTTGGCTTTATTTGTCACCGACGTGACCTCGCTTAGGCGTTCATTGTGAATCGCTTTTTTACAACAAAGGTAAGTGGTTTCATTAGTTCTGTTCCGAATAACGTGTCGAATCAGTTTCATTCATAATTTACCTTGAAAATTATTATTTTAGCTTATTCCTTTTCTATCTCAATTGTGTTGTTGTATCATATTTAGCAGGAAAATTGTTGATTGTCACTCGGTCTTACATTTTTGCAGAAAGGTTCCGCAAATCAGAACAGGAATGATGGACTCCAAAGCTATGACATGATAAGGCTTCTTTTATTGGCGACTTCGGCTAAAGAAACAGATACAGTTTATAGTTTAGCACTTGAATTTTGCTTTATTAATATTGTCATGATTCATTCGCTGGCCGCTTGAAAAGCCTTTGGGCCTCTTCTAGAGGCCGCTGGTTCGCTGGCCGCTTGAAAAGCCTTTGGGCCTCTTCTAGAGGCCGCTGGTATTTAGACTGGCATTGTCGTTAGACGCTACGGTGACAGCGATCGGGGCGGCTGAGGGTGCTTTTTGGACCCCCCCGGANAAAAATAAGTGAGATCGTTTCAGATCTGTCTCTTATACACATCTAGATGTGTATAAGAGACAGACCTTCAGCTTTACAAAGCCTGGAGTATAATACTTGCTCTGTTAGAGACAGAACTCTACCTTCAACGTTACAAAGCCTGGAGTATAATACTTGCTCTTTTAGAGACAGAACTCTACCTTCAGCGTTACAAAGCCTGGAGTATAATACTTGCTCTGTTAGAGACAGAACTCTACCTTCAACGTTACAAAGCCTGGAGTATAATATGCATGTTATTTGTGAGGTCTGTCTCTCACGGCCAAACCGTAAGGAATTTTGAAATTCTGAGGCCATATCCTCTTCGCGGCTTGACGAGATCTACAGGGTGGCGCGCGGTAATTTGCTGATTTGGGAATGAAATAAAAAAATTATGATCACTAGAAAAAATTATTTTATATTTGAATTATACTGCACGGTAATGGAATTTATAACTTACATGGTTTTAAATAGTGTATCTGGCAAATGTCGACCTTTGCATTCCACACACTGCTGCATACGTTTTCTGAAGTTTTCATGAACTCTGACAAGCATGTCTACTGGTCTTCTGCCAATTTCAGCTTCAATATTCTTCCTTAGGTCTTCCAAGGTGTTGGAGCGTTTGATATACACCTCAGACTTCAGGTAACCCCAAAGAATAAAATCGCATGGGGCTAAATCTGGTGACCGTGCTGGCCAGGTCACATCACCCCTCAAAGAGATAAGCCGTCCAGGAAACATTTGCCTCGAAGAATTCATGGTAACCCTTGCTGTGTGTGCAGTGGCACCATCCTGTTGGAACCATGTATCCTCTAATTCCATTGCTTCAAGAGCTGGCTGAAAATAATCCTGTATCATAGACAAGTACCGTTCGGAGTTCACAGTTATGGCACGACCGTTATCCTGAAAAAAGGAAGGCCCAATGATGCCTACTCACGATATGGCGCACCACACAGAGACGCGGTCCGAATGCAGAGGTCTCTCGGAAAGATATTCTCTAAGGTCCCCTTCGTAGACATGACACATTCCCTGCTGTTCTGACTTCTGAATGCATTCACCCAATTTTCAATTGATTGCCGTCCAGGAACACGTCCGCGTAAAGGAACAGCGAATCGTGAACGAAAAGCACGCTGCACTGCAGTGATCGAGTGCGCATTTGAAAAATACGCTTCTACACAAAATGACCTCTCCTCACGTGTCCACTGCATGATGGCAACTGAGAGCCAGACGAATACAAATTTCCCGCCATCCACAGTCAGCCACGTCCACTCTCCTCTGTCTTCGACCGTCAGTGCCGTCACAGCATGCAGTGCAAATAAGCAAATTACCGCGCTCCACCCTGTACAAGACATAGGCAGATAGATTTCCGAAAAAATCAAAACTCACAAAGTTATGAGCAATTTTTTGGAAAAATTTTGTAAACTTTTTTACTTTTTACCTCACTACTCTGCGGAAAAAAATTGTAATTTTTTACCAAACCCCATCATAAAATTCAAGTTTTTGCCTTCAATTCGAACCCTGATTCATGATTCTAGCACCAACAGAACACGAGATATGATCATTCAAAGTCGACTAGATTGGTCTTTTCGGATTTTTGGCAATTTTTCGGTTTTTCGTCTCTCACGGTCAAACCGTCGACATTTTTACTGTCGCAATAATACTCTATCGAAGAATCTCCACGAGATGCACAATCTGGTTCAAACAGATTAGCGAAAAAATCAAAACTCACAAAGTTGTGAGCAAAAGTTTGGTAAAATGTACAATTTTTTTCCAAGCGATCATTTCGACAACAAGATTTCAAGTTAGAGACTTCTGCCTTGAATTTTCGGAAAATTCAGACTTTTTGCATGGGGGTCAAAAAATCACAAGCCGGCAAAACTCGAAAATCCCCATTAGCAAACGAGTTATGAGCGATTTAAAAAAAATTGGAGCGTTTAAATTTTTATTTTTTCCAGTTCTTTACTTTTTCAAGCTATTTTATCTCGGCAACGACCAGGATTGAAGAAAATTTACACGAATGACAAATTAAAGAGAAGGAGAATCCTCTTCCAGGGGCCCCGAGTGGTGAGCTCGGGGCCCGCTCGTTCCCCCGATATTGGTCGTCAAACATGACTCCAAATGGGAAGTTTTGCTCAAGCCGTACAGGCTCTCTGGCAAGTGTTTCGGTTTTTCGTCCCTCACGGCCAAACCGTCGACATTTTTACTCTAGCTATGATACTTTATCGAAGCGTCTCGACGAGATACACCATTTGGTCCACACAGATTTTCGAAATCAAAACTCACAAAGTTGTGAGCAAAAGTTTGATCGAATTTATATTTTTTCAAATGATCATTTAAGCAACAAGATTTCAAGTTAGAGACTTCTGCTTTGAATTTTTTGGAAAATTCAGCTTTTTTGCATAAGGGTCAAAAAAACTCCAACAAATGGAAAACTCGAAATTTTCCATAGGAAACGAGTTATGAGCAATTAAAAAAAATAATTGTGAACATTTAAATTATGATTATTTTCTTTTTCAAGTCTTTTTGGCTTTTTCAAGCTTTTTTATCTCGACAACGATCAGGATTGAAGAAAATTTACACGAATAACAAATTGAAGAGAAGTGAAATCCCCATCGAGGATTCCCAAGTGGTGAGCTCGGGTCCCGCTCTTTCCCTCGATATTGGCTGGCAAAGACTTTATATTCAATTTCTCCTCGAACCGTGGCGTCTTCCTGGCGCCTTTACCCCGATGTGTCCGGGGTCTATTTCTGCGACCCCCTGATAGATTAGTAACTGAGAGTCAGGACTCTAGTAGTTCCAAGTATGACTAAGGCAGGATCAGTGAAACGAACGGTTAACAATAGATCTATTATAATAATAATAAAGTGGCTCGGTGAGTACAGAAGTAAGGGGATTGACAGGCACAGCACAAGTACGTGCTGGAGGAGCGGCTAGCAAGGTGACGGCTAGGCAGTACCGCTACGACTGACGAGCGGTGCATAGATCGAGATATATATGTATAGGCCTTAACAGGGATGACGTCACTGAGCGTGACTCTACCATGTGGGTACAGAACATGTTATAAGAGGGTGACGTATGATAACCTAGAGGGTGATAGAAGATACCCTCACAAATGCAGAGCTGGGCAGCGCTACTTTGAAATGTAGCGGCGCTACCGCTACCGCTACATGCTCTAAATGTAGCGGGCGCTACCGCTACCGCTACACCCACTAGATTGTAGCGAGCGCTGCCGCTACCGCTACAGTAAAATGTAGCGCCGCTTCATTAGCCGCTACAATGGCCAAAATTATTGGAAATCTTTAAATATATATTGTTCTGCCATTGGGATTTACTCATAAACATTTAATGATAATAAAACATTTTCGAAACATATCAATGCAGCTTTATTGCAATTAACCTAACCGAACTAGTACGGGTTAGATACAGTAAATAAAAGTTACAGTTATTTTATTTTTTACCTTCCCTACATGGATTCTACCAATCTAAAAAAGTATCCACATATACATATAAAAATCTGTCTTTTATTTGTATATATATATATATATATATATATGGATTATTTTTGAGATTGGTAGATTAAAGTAGACATCCA